CGCCGGCAGGCGCTCCCTCTTCGCAGCTGACAAGCAGCAGAGCGAGGAGTGGGTGGCGAAGCTGTGCGAGATCGCCTTCCCGGTGAGCCCCGGGGCGGGCGGAGGGGGATCCTGGGCACCGGGCGGGGGGGGCCCTGGCACCGGAGGGGGGCGGCGGGGGGGTGGCGCGCCCCCCCCCTCCCTCCCTCCCTGCCCAGCAGGAGACCCCGAAGCACCTGTGAGCGGTCCCAGGCGGTCAGAGCGCCTGGCCCTGGGACGCCGGTCCCCTCGCGACAGCTCCCGCCGTGCCAGCAGCCAGGCGGGTTACGGGACTCCGCGCCGTGCTGTCAGGAATTCTTGGTTGCAGCTACAAATTTCAAGTTGGGCTCCTCTCCCCCAGCATGAAGCCTGTACTCGGCCCCTCTAGAGACCTGGCGGGGGCCGGGTGATGGCCGAGGAGCGTTTCCTCTTGGCCCAACCACCGCCACCTTTCCTGCCGCAGCGGCGGAAGCAGAGCCTCGAGAGCATTGCAGTGCCTGGCTCTGGGACCCACCTGGCTCCTGGGCGGCAGCGCCAGCAGCCGTGGGGCCAGTGCACCCCCTCGCCCAGCCCTGGGGCTCGCCCCTGCCTGCTGCCGGGAACGCGCCATCAGTGCTGGGCCTGCGGCACAGCCCTCCGGCTCCCCCGTCCCCTGCCCGCAGCCCCGTAGCAGCTCTGCAGCCTTCCCTAGAGCTAGTGGTCAGCCAGCGCGATGCCTCCCTGCGAAGGCAGTTTGGACAGCGGGTGGCCTACAAATCTGGTCATCCACACCTCTCTGCGAGAGCAGCCCGCACCTGCCCTGCCCCACGGGTTCCCTGCTCTCCCTCCTAGGAGATGTTTGCACAGCCCTGGGTTGTGCCTAGCCGATTCCAGGCTTTGAGTGCTGGGCAGGGCTGCCTCGCAAGATGGCTGGCTGCACAGCTGGTGATCCCAGGATCTTCCCACAAGGACGCGGGTGTTTGCCAAGCGTGATTTACCTTAAGCCTTTTTTTTGTCCCTGATTCCGTCTCCCTGCAGGCTGCTGTCAAGCCAAACGTGTCTGTGCAGCAAGTGCCCTGCTGACCAGGCCAAAAGACACCGGCAGGGTATTGGAAATTACTCCGTGTCCGTGCCCGTGTCTGTTTGGTGCACAGTGTTGCAGCCTTTTTCCTGGAAATGGCTTGCAGGGCTGAGCTAGGGACACAGCACGTGCCTTTGGAGCGGTGCAGGGTAGTGGCGAGGCGGGGGAACATCTGCTTGGAGCAGGGGTGTGCTCATACCTTCCTTCACAGGGTAGCTGTCAGTTGCGTGCTTGAGGTCCAGAAGCAACCTGACAGTTTAGGAAGCAAAAGGCTGCAAGGATGGCATGTGCTCCAGAAAGGCCTGGCCTGGGGCAAGAGGCACAGGAGCTGCATGTGGCCTCTCTGCAAAAAGCTGGAGATTCTCAGTTGTGATTTCTGGTCATCCGCATGGAGAGCGTGATTTTGTGTCGTGTTGTTTGTTGCTGCCCGGAGGGTAAGCAGGGTCTAGTAGCTTGGGAACTGGGGCCAGAGATCATTTGGAGTTGAGAACAGAATTGCTTTTTCTTTTGAAGATGAGGGAAAGCGCAGTCAAATGGAGCTCTGAAGAGCTGTCGCAGTTCGGCTGGCCTTTGACTTCCCGATCGCAGGCTGGAACCCTGCTGCGTTAGATGCTTTAGCTGAGCAGGAGCTGCTGCTATCAGCATTAAGGACACTAGGTTTTAGCAGTCCCCGTTCTATTTAGGAGCCAAGCAAGAGCCTTTTTGGGCCTTGCCTCTTGTTAAGAAGCTCATGTGGCTAGGTTTTAAACTGAAGCTGTGACAGCTTGCCTTCTGCAAGATGTACACTCTGCTGCAACCCCGTCCCACGTGACCCTGAGAAACAGCTTCCAGCTCCCGTCCAAATACAGACCCTCATGCAACGGTGTGAAATCTGCTGAAGCAGCTCTTGCTGGGCGTCTGTGAGCCTTTGATTTGCATGGGCTTCCCTGGAGGAGGATCTTTGCTATTCGGTGGTAGCATCAAGGGTGCATCCCCCACACAGGCCCTTCAGGGGACCCTGCTGCTGGGACACGGTTGCTGACAGAGTGTGTGCGTTGCACTTTCAGTTCTGCATGCGCCTAAAATAGAAGTGCTCGCTTCCCTTCTGCGGGCTGTGCGCTGATACTGGTGCCGCCTTCCTGCCTGTGCAGAAGCAGGACACAGACCCTTGTGTTACTGGGTCATCTCATCAGCTCCCTCCTTTGCTCGTACCT